CAAATTGAACCCATGCATTCCACAACAGCAATGAACTGGGAAGCTGTTATGGGCAGAGGAATACTATGAGAGTGTTGGAACTCCTACACCCAGAACAGATTGCTTACTTAGGCATATGCCTCTAGCACCAGCTGTATCAAATTATAAATCCAGATATCCAAAGAAGAAATCATGATAATCTATGGGTATGTTTTGTAAGGACCAATACTTATCAACTTTGTACTCATGCTCTGTTAATTCAGCCGTTGTATTCTTGCATATTTTATCTGGTGGATATGTAGAGAAAACATCCATTCTTTATGTGAATTGCAGCATTTATAGGGACTTATCCCACAGACATCTTTTCTTTTATAGTCTATGGTGCTCATATAAGAGAAATAGATACCATTACAGTGAGTTAACAGGATTATTAGTAGCTCAGCTCAAGCTGTGAAAGGTTACTTAGATGAGTGGAATGGTATGTAGGCTTTAATAAGAAGGCCCTAAGTTTTCAGCTGTGATGGATGAACTACAGTCAGTCAACCAACATGAATGGAAAGCTGTTGTAATTCACATCAATTGAAGAGGTGTTGGCTGTTCTTGTAGGCAGATGCTGGGTGACTGCCCTTGCAAAGAGCAGTGGTATAAAAATGTTGGAAAAATTTGCCCTTAAGGTAATTCTCCCCTGTAGTTTTCTCTGTGAGAGTAGCTGCTTGCCTCAGAGAGACAAAGAAGATTTAGGAGGCCAATCTGATATGCTTCTTTGGTTAAGTAACCTACCCTGAACAATAGTAATTCACTTAATAGTGTCAATTCTTCTTTTGAAGAGTGTGGGAAATAATGTTTAGATTTAATAAATACTTCCATCTTAGCATTTCTGTGTCAGTTAAGAGACTACAAAAATGAGATGTTGCTTGCTATGCATTTTATTTATTTGTAGAAAAATGTGTACCCCACCTTTGTGTGTCTGTATACCACTCAATGTGGCTAACAGCAGTTAAGATCAATCTAACATCATTTAATAATAACAACCACATGCTGTCTGTTGTTCTAAATGTGTTTGATATTGATTTTATTTATCATTTTAATATAATGCTTTTAAAATTCTTTTTAAATATTTGTATACTTACTGGTTATAGCTTTTAAATACTATTTTTAATTATATGAGCTGCCTTAAGTTCTTTTAAGGAAAAAGGCGGGATAAAATATTTTAAATAAATAAATAAGTTGATTCTGACTTACAGTGGCCCTTTCCAGGGTTTTCAAAGTATAGAATCATCAGAAACAGTTTACCAACTTCTTCTCTTGCTTCTTGTTTGACTCACTGAGCTATCTCCCCAGACGAAACACAATATACAAAACAGAAAAATAGATAATATATGTAATATATTACATAAAACTCAAAAGGCAAATGTATGCCTAAAGAAAGATCTTCACCATATGATCATAGTCTAAGATAGTGTCCATCTTCCCTCTTGGGGCAAGGAATTTCCAAAGTTTACATGAAGCCAGAGGAGGGATTTTGTGTCTGGTTGCAGACAGACTGATAAGAGAGGAGGCAATTTTGTGGACCTACACAATTCAGGACTTCAAAGATCATCACTTTAAGGACTTCGAATTGTGCTTTGAAACAAATTAGTAACCACTGAAGATCTGAAAGGATAGCTGTGATATAGCCTTGTTTCTATATGACTGTCCACCCGTGTTTTCACAGCTATATTCTGGACCAAACTCTTCAAAGGTAGCCCCATTTTGAAAGCATTATAGTCATCTAGTTTACAGGTGACTATGAAATGTATTACCATGGACAGGTCTCACTTTTTCAAAAATGCCACATTGGGCACACTGCCTAAGCTGAGCAGAGGCACACCTTGGTACAAAGTCATCACATGATCATGCAGATACACAGCCAGATCCTTGTCCTTTAAGGGGAGTGGTGTTATTTGCTCCTGCCCTGCAAATCTGGATAATAATTTACAGTGGGTTTCTAAATACAGTTTAGGACATTACCTTCTTTAGCTAGTGTAAAGCCTTACAGTAATCTTTTATGCAGGTTTCTTCTAGAATAGTATGCTTTAAGGGATCATACCTTCCATTATTGATGTAGATGGAATAAGGGTGCAGGACAAAGATGAGCACAGGCAGGGCCATGAGGTTGTTAGTTGGTATCTCATACTTTGGTGCTCGTCCACTGCACGTCCAATTGCTTTAGTTCATCGTGCCTGGCTGTTGACTTTGAAGATGAATATTCTGAGTCTTCAAATAATAGTAGATAGGAAGAAGCTGAAAAAACCTCTTAAGAAATCTTTGCTTAGCATCTCTTCTGTAAAGTGAATACAGAAAACATACAATCACCTAATCCAGTGAATGCCTATGGAATTCTGTATAAACAATGGTGGTATATATAAGTTTCCTTTGTGTTTGAGGATTAAAAAGTGCATTCCAGTAGCTTTAGGTTGATCTGTAGGAAGATGAAACCTTCCTTTAAAGAAAATGGTATCTTCTTTTGTATGGTTGTGATTATTATCTCTGCAGTATTTATTTAGAAATGTTTTCAAGATGATATCCTATCCTTATTATGCATTTGCATTTTTGAGATGGCATATGCAATTAAAATAATTCAATTCAATTTAAAAGAACAGTGCATTAAGAAGACTATTTCAAAATGTATGCTTGGCAATCCTCTTTCCTTCAATAGCACTTCATACTTCACCAAGGTCACTCTATAAATTGAGACCAGAGATTATGAGTGATTCTCACAGGCAAATCTGGAACTTTTTGGTTTGACTGAAGATATAGAAGCCTTTTCTTCCAGATCCATGCTTTATTTCCCTGGATCACATTAGTACCCAGCTGAAACACCAGTTCTCATATGACCTTGTAATGCTGGTTTTGTTAGGAGTGTTATTTTCTTTATATTTTCTTTTTTCCTTCTCTTTTTAGTGGAAGCCATAGATTTATGAACTTGCACCAGGACTGCTCTGCTGTCCCCAAATGCTATTTTTGTTCATTTCCTAATGTTTCTGCAAAATTTATTTTGGCATGTCTTCATGGGAGAAAGATTACATGCAAAGATGAAGGAAGTTCTATCTTTCCTCTGAAAGTTTTGTTGTGGTGACGTAATTTTGAAGAATATAAACAATAGACATATTCTTAGTTAATCATGATTACGATAGTATAATGGAGGTTTAAGAATGCCAGGAAAACAGCTGACCTGTTAAGAAGATAGTTAATATATTTTTTCGCAATGTTGAGTTTGTATCCTGTAAATCCTGTGAGGGCATGAGTAATTTTATATGGAGCATGGAGGTATACTGATTTACCAGCTGTGCAGGAAACACTGAAATGTGGTTGTGTTTGTTGGTTTTTCCATGGGGCTAAGAGGAGAAAAATAAAACTAGTACCCCATTTATACAAGTTTTCTTGTCTCAGTAGAACTGATTATTACTGCCCCAGAAGACTTCCATGGGGCAATTGTGCCTTCCCCCAGCCTGTTGTCTTGTGGAACCAGATATCTGATCTTCTTGTCATGGAGAGTTTCATATCAACAAAATCTTGGATTAACATGAAAACTAATCACATGGTGAAGAGAATCCATGTGGCAAGTTTTTGTAGCTGTTATAATCAGTATGTAGATTATCCTTAAGCAGAAGTTGCCTTCCACAAAGGTAGAAAAATATACAGTATAGTTGAAGTGTAGACCAGTATTAGCAGCTCTTGTTGAAAAATAAGAGTCCCAGTGGTGGAGCTAGTTATAATTACCAGCAGTACCCTTGCATCTGGCCATTTAGGATCTTGTGCACCTGAGTGGAGTTGGTGTATATTGGATTTGACACTTGTAGATCATCAGGTGTATTTATTTAATTTTATAACAAAGATTATATTGTTACCCCACTGGATGCAATGTATGTTTAAAATATACACAAATACATAAGTAAAAGAGGCCACTTCCAATAAATTGTGTATCCCAAACAATTGATTTTGGGATTTTGTACCAATTCTTCCCCCATACATCTGGCCAGTTTTAAAACTATTTTTGTGTTTTCTTGATTTTCCTGATTGGTTGTTTGTACTTCTTCTCTATTTATTATAATCTCTACTTTTAATTAACCTGCTGCTTGACTCCCTCTTCTTGGTCATTAATGAAGTCATTAAAACAGACAGGCTGTATGGTGATCCTTGAAGCACCTCAGTGTGTGCTACCAGCACAGAACAAAAGAAGGTCCATGCAAAGCTGACCTTTGTCAATCCAGCGCAGCTCCACACAGTTCTTTTAATTGTCTTCTGGAAAGCAGACACTTCACGGCCCCTAAGGGAAATAATGCTCTTGCTGAGATTTCATTGCTTTGGTCTTTTGTGTCATCACAGTGTTTTTCCATTGAGCTGCTGCTCTCTATTTGCCTTTAGGGAGCTTTGCGTCTCTGGCTTTGGATGTCTGATAAAGTTTGTTCAACCTCTTAACAGCTTGTTAACAGCACATCCCACCATTTTCTCAGGTACCCAGGTTCTTAAGAATAAAAACCTAGATAGAAGAAAATTAAAAGTTGAATTGAACTATTCACCATTTATAGCTTCCAGCTTATCTCTTAGAAGCAGGTCTGTTCCTCCTCTCTGCAGTGTCAACATACCTAAAGGAGAACTTATTCTAGAGGTAATTGTAAAAAAAACCATCCCCACCCCCCATGGCTTGTTATAGACAGTTCCCTGAAAGTGTGTGCTATAAAGCAATGGCACTTACAGCTTTTCAAATAATCTTAAGAACTACCTTTGTCCATTGTTTTCTATCTTTTGACATTAGGTATATTTAGTCAAATTTGTTGGAAAACGGATTGAACATGTTGAAGTACTTCTGTAATTTTCGGAATAGTGGACTAGCAGGAAATTAGATCACTGGAAAGCGTTGGCTTTGGTGATACACAGGACTTTGGCAAATGATAGAACTGCAAGGCATTAAGACCAAGGCTGCTAGATATAACCACATTTAGTCATAATCTTCCTCCTTTCTTTCTCTTCCTCTCTAGATTTGCAACAGGATGAATTACAGGAAGCAGAAAAGCCATGAAAAGCACAAGAGAACCCTCAAGAGGATTTTAAAAATCTGTGCATTTACAATTCAGCAGGAACAATTTATTTTCTGCAATGAACACAGTCAACCTCAAGAAGGAAGCCCACTAAGAATACAAAATACTGCCAGTTTCATCCAGGCACTTGGCTTTCAAGCTATGAATGCTTTACATGCTTTTTGATAGTCAAATTGTGGACCACTTAGCAGATGAAAGGAGTAAGCAGCCTCATACAAATGCCCATTTATAATTTTTGTATGTAAATAATAATAATTGAAAGACTTGGGAAACACACACTTATTTTTGCATATATCTATCTAATGATAAAGCCTTTTTTGCCCACGTGTTACATTTCTGATAAAAGTAGCTATTTCCTTTTCTCCCACAGCTTGCTGGGCTATGTGACTTACCATTAAAAAGTCAGTAATTGTTTTACCACCCCACTTTCAATGTATGCATTTGATCTTGGGTTATATTATACAAGTAAAAACTTGTCTCCTGAGAGTAAAATGTGCAACAACTTTTGTGCATTAAAAATTAGTGCAGGGACAGTAAACCTGAACATTGTTATGTGTTGGTCTCTTCCAGGTTGCTTACATTATACTCCTTTTAGTTTGTCTAACTTAATACCAATTTTTTGGAACTTCTGAAGCTCTATTGTTGAGGCCTTCATTTAAAATGAAATTATTTTAATGATAATTTCTATCTCACATTGTTGAAGAAAAATAGACAATTTGATGTATAGCTGAAGCTTCATAGATTGCAAAGAAGGGTTTATCTGTATAAATGTGTGGTGCAGGTTTACCAAATATGCTATGACTCTGGGCAGTTTGTGGCCTTCTAAATAATGTTGGTGTGCAGCTAATAGCAATTGCCTGAATAGACAATAATGAGGAATGATGGGAGTTGTAGTCCTAACACATTTAGAAGACCACAGTTGTCCACAACAGTCTAAACTTCCAGCGGTCAATCCTAAAATATTAATATTTGGGTCTGAAATGGCAGGTTTTGTTGAAACTTGGTTTGTAGAAGTTGCAGAATGAACATACCAGCATTTGGCTTTAAAGTTTAAGGCTTTCATATGATAATGCACACCAGAATAAAGTATGTGAAAGCACTAACAAAATCAAGATGAAAATAATTCAGAAATGTGCACCACTGTCTGAAAATAACTCAGGCCTGGTTCCAATACTACATGCTTCAATTAAAGCATATTCTTTTCTTTTTATTTTGGTCTCATCACCGCACCATATCAAATTACTAAATTGCTGCTTATTTGGCAATACATGCAAGATGATTTTCTAGCCGTCACCTCTGTTCTTTTGGTAGAGACATAATTTTATCAAATACCTGTATCACTTAGTGCTTTGTATTGGCTGTTCTAGCAAATAGTCAAAAACCCATGGATTGACAAACCAGGGAAATGCAAAGGAAAGTAATTATAGGTGGGCCACCACAGCTAGTACTGCAATAGAAGGTATTTTTGTATTTTACCACACAGGTAAAATAAACATTTGTCTGAATATGTTTCATAGTCTAATTCCATGCTGGTTTTGTACTGTTTTTTTAAAAGTTTACCATCTCCTGTTTACTCCATAACTAATTTATACTGATTTATTGATTAATTGGACAAAAATAAAGGTCATTCTTCTTCTGACCAATAATTTTAAATTTTTCTGCAAAATAAGTACAATCTGATTTCATTTCTTCTAATGAAATTTTTGTTTCTTTGTAACTCACTTCAGTATCATAGATTCAAACATTTCCTAAAATAAATATGCCATTAAAAATATCTGATCCAACTTTAATTCATAAAGAGATGTCACTTGGCCCATCCCACAGTGAACAGATCTTGTTGACAGGTCCTGCATGTTATGGGCAGAATTATTTACTTTTATGTCTGCTCATTTTGGGTTTTTTTGTTGTTGTTGTGATTTAATTTTGTAATGTAAACATACTTTGATTGAAAAATATGCCTGGTGTCAATATTCATTCTTTAGACCAAAGAACAGTTGCTACAATATTACAATTTCTCACTCACGTTTCCCCTCGTAAAATTAGGCATGATGCTAATCTTCGCGAAGGCTTTCACGGCCAGGATCTAATGGTTGTTGTGGGTTTTTCGGGCTCTTTGGCCATGTTCTGAAGGTTGTTCTTCCTAATGTTTCACCAGTCTCTGTGGCCGGCATCTTCAGAGGACAGCACAACCATGATGCTAATCTGTTGCTTTCTCCACAGAGTTCTCTAAAACCTAGAATTTAAAAGAAATATCTTTGTGGGGCTGTGGAGGTTGATGAGATTATTTCAGCCTCAGTTCTGTCATCTTTTCAGTACATCAGCTACTTTGAATATGTTACTGTTGTTCCCCAGTATCTACTTCTTGATTGTGTTTAGTTATATTAATGTTAGGTAAAATCTCTTTGCTGCTAATGATGATGATAGCCATCTACAGGAGTAGTGCTGTAGAAGGAAATCTGCCCAGCTTCCTTCTAACTTCAATTTGTGTCAGCATCCCCACCCCGAGTTTCTTATGTTGCTTTGCTTAGTCTCTGGTTTGATCACCTTTAGGTGTCTGTTTCTTGTTCATAGGAGTCTTTGAAGTAGCCTCTTAAAGAAGGCTGGAATGGATTTGGCAGCAACTGATACATGTTTGCCTAGCATAAATTGGTGAAATATTGTAACCTTTTGAGGTTCAAGTTGTAATTTATAGTTGCCTGTGGATTTTATTCTGATGTAGCAGAATGGTTTGAATGGTAACATCAACCTATTTTAGGCAAGTTTTTATTTGTGGGCCTTACCTACGTTTGTAATGGCTTCTTTGTCCTCTTCCTGCTTCTCAGTCATTCCCCCCCCCTCCCCC